CCCAGCTGAGAGCCCCCTGTGCCTAGGGCAGTGCTCCCCTCCCTGACCCATCCCACGGCCCCGCAGGGTCCTCACAACCAGCTCTGGGCCCTCAGCGGAGAGTCGGTCAGTTCCAGCCTTGGTGCCCCTCCAGGGCCTTCGGCAGGCTTACCCCAGCCGGTCCCATGGGTCCGAACAGTCCTGCCTGGGGGAGGGATAGTGCCCAGCAAAGGGAGAATTTGCCCCATGAATGAATACCCATTAGCCTCTTTGCAGCCTGTGCCCTGGAGCAGGATGCTCTGCCTGGCTGGCTGACCCTCCTCACCCTGTGCCTCTGCCCCCAAGGATGGCAGCCTGCAGTGCCCCACCTGCAAGGCCATCTATGGGGAGAAGACCGGGACCCAGCCCCCAGGGAAGATGGAGTTCCACATCATCCCACACTCGCTGCCAGGCTACACGGAATCCAAAACCATCCGCATCGTCTACGACATCCCCACGGGCATCCAGGTGAGCCGCCCAGGGACAGAGGAATCTCTGGGAGCAGCCAGCGGCTCCGTGGCCCAGAAGAGTTGGCGCCTGCTGCCTCCCCCTCGGGAATCCCCCAGGTGGCTAAGCATGCCACATTCTCAGACCGCTCCCCCGGCCCCGGGGGCAACTGATGGAGAGCCTGGGGCCTCCTCTGCTTCCTCCAGCAGAGGCAGCCCAGGGTGTGACACCCCATGGATTTGGTGGTGGGTCTAGGCCAGGCCCCATCTCCTACTCCTAGGTGGTGCGGTCGCTGGCCACGCCCTGCCAGGCGGGATCTCGCTCAGACCCCTGCTGCCTGCAGGTTGTGCCCCATTGTCGACCAATGCATCACTCTCAGCCCGTCCAGCCAGTGCCTCCTGAGCAATGCGGTGGGCGTGAGCAGCTGTGCTGCCTTCTTGAGCAGGGGGGTGACGTGTTTCAGGCACAGCTGCTGGCTGCCGGATTTCCCCAGCGCCTGCTTTGTTCCCTGCCAGGGCCCAGAGCACCCGAACCCCGGGAAGAAGTTCACAGCCCGAGGCTTCCCCCGGCACTGCTACCTACCGGACAACGAGAAAGGCAGGAAGGTGAGTGGCCTGCCCCCAGCAGCTCCTGGAGCCTGGCTGCCTCCCACAAAGCCGGCTGCATCTCCCCTCAAGGAGGTGGCATTGGCGGGGGGAGAGAGGGTCACCCCCTTGTGACAGCTGCTGCAATACTCCCAGCTCTTCTGCTGCAGCCAGGGGGTTAAACGGGTTTGCTGACTATCGGCACAAGGTGGGTCGTGCCAGGTCACTAGCACCAGCCCTGGCACAGGGGCTTGGAGACACTCGTGTGTGTGCTGTGATGGGGCCTGGCACGTTACACCCTTGGCAACGTACACCTGAGTTGGCGATTTCAAAGGAGCAGAAGGGAGTTGAGTGCACAAATGCCAGGATGTTCAGTGTCCTAACTCCCCTAGGCTGCATTGCTAATCCAGCCGTGCAAACTTCACACCGTCAAAGCCTTAGTATTTAATCGAAATAACTATCGGGGCCGTGCAGGTGGGGAGAGGAGCCCCTTCCCCGGCCCAGCCCGGCTGGAGCTGCTGGGGTGAGAGAGGGCTGGGGGGAGTCCTCTCTCCCCACCTCAGCCCTGGGGCAGCTTAACCCCCAAACCCCTCATCCCCAGTCCCACCCCAGAGCCCACACCACTCCCGCACCCCAACCCTCTGCCCCAGCCCTGATCCCCCTCCCACACTCCGAACCCCTCGGCCCCACCACACATCACCTCCATATTTGTGCACATAACAATATTCACTCCGCACATGGCCATAAGAAATGAGAGGGAACAGCCTGAGTCAGTGACCACACAGGACTGGGCCGTACGTTTCCATGGGGCTTGTTGGCTGTGGTAGTCAGACGCTGTCTCTGCCTCCGTCCTGTTGCAGGGCGGGTCTGAGCCCGTGTGGGGGGAAACGACATGCAAGGCTGGGGCGTAGTGTCAAGGCCACAGAGGGTTATTCTGCGGGGGGCTTATATTCCCGTGCTCTGCAGAAAGGAATAGCCTCATAACAAGCCCCACATTTGGGGGTCTGTGTTCTGGAGGGTGGGGCAGACCCCGGATCAGACCAAGCTCCAGGCTCGATCATTCTCTGGGGAATGATTCTCTGGGTTCCTGGACCAGATCTGAATCATAGAATCATAGAATCATAGAATCATAGAATCATAGAATCATAGAATATCAGGGTTGGAAGGGACCTCAAGAGGTCATCTAGTCCAACCCCCTGCTCAAAGCAGGACCAATTCCCAACTAAATCATCCCAGCCAGGGCTTTGTCAAGCCGGGCCTTAAAAACCTCCAAGGAAGGAGACTCCACCACCTCCCTAGGTAACGCATTCCAGTGCTTCACCACCCTCCTGGTGAAATAGTGTTTCCTAATATCCAACCTAGACCTCCCCCACTGCAACTTGAGACCATTGCTCCTTGTTCTGTCATCTGCCACCATTGAGAACAGCCGAGTTCCATCCTCTTTGGAACCCCCCTTCAGGTAGTTGAAGGCTGCTATCAAATCCCCCCTCACTCTTCTCTTCTGCAGACTAAA